AATGCAATTCTCTTAGGTTGTACTCGGCTTTGCTCAGGCATGTCTAACAGATAGATCCCATTTGCCTCATGGCCACTCTCAATCACCATCTGAGATTCCATGTCATGAAAAATACAATATGAAGGAAAAAAAGTCACACTGCAATTCAGGGATTTAGTCAAATTACTAACTAAAAGCAAATTGGTATTAAGTTTAGGTACATGAAGAACAGATGATAAGGTTAGGGCGTTAGAGGTCTTAATGTCTCCCTTTACTGTGATGGGGGCAAGAGAGCCATCGGCAAGGGATATCTTATCCTGGCCAGAAAGAAGTTGGTAAGAGGTGAATAACTGTGAAACATTGGTCATATGGTCAGAAGCACCATAATCTATTATCCAAGGGGTTTTATGAGTACCTGAGATAGAAGCATGATGTGCAGTGGCCCGAATACCTAAGTGAGCATATGCAGAGGAAGGAATAGTCTCTAAAGGAGCTGTAGTAGTGGACTCAAAGTGACTGATGATTCAACCATACTTCTTATATTCAGCCCTAGTGGCTGCAAGCTGTTCTCCCACTGACTTCTCTCCACCCTATCCTTGTTCACTTTGTGGAGAGGTGGCTACATTTGCATTTCCACCTTTTCCAGTTTCGACCCTTTTTCCACCATTTTCTTTCTTGAATCTGGCAGGAATGAGCTTTTGATGCAGCTTCCAACATATGTTTTTAGTGTGTTTAGGCTTCTTGCAGTATTCATAGATAATATCTTTCTTTCCAGTGTTAACCTTCAGCTTCATCCCAGCATTAGCATAATGATCAACTTGCGGCTCAACAGATTGAACCTGTCTTCTACTCTCCTCACTGCTTGCTATAGCATAGGCTCGAGGCAAAGTCACCTCATCCTTTGCTAAAACATTCTGCCTCACAATATCATACTCCGAGTTGAGTCCAGTGAGGAACTCAAAGACCCGAATTCTCTCCACCAACCTCCTATATATTTTTGCATCTTATGTGCAACCTCAAACAACAGTCTCCATTAGATCAATCTCTTGCCAAAGAGATTTCAGCATAGAGAAGTAGACTGCTAAGGGCTTCTCCCCTTGTTTAAGATTATTCACATCATGCTTCAATTTGTAGGCCCGAGCAACATTAAGTTTTTGGGAATAGGTCTCAGTGGCACTATTCCACACTTCTTTTGCAGTTTCCATCCACAGATAATGTTGACTAATGTGTGGTTGCATAGAATTCACTAACCAACCCACTACTGTGTAGTTTTCCTACATCCACCTTTCATAGGCAAGATCATCCTCCCCCGGTTTCTTCTTGCTCCTATTAATGTAACCCCATTTTCCTCTACTATAGACATGTATCTTAATAGATTGAGACCAGTTAAATAGTCGGTCCCATGACTCCCATCTAACTTCACAGTAGTCACAACCCCAAAAAGATTCTCCACTAACCCCCCATGTCCAAACCCAGAATCTCTGGAATATTTGGTCTCTCCTCTAGTTTGCTCCAATGAGTAAACGGATGCAAACAAAAATCAAATTAGGGCTTTACTAGGCTACATTTATTGTTCTAAGCAAAGAACAACCTTTCAACCCCCAAAATTAGGGTTTCATAGGACCTGGTGGGATGGGAAGAAAGAGAAAAACTTCAACCGCTCCTTCTAGAGGTTCCGGAACTCAATCCAACCAAAACTGTGCCTAATAGAAATTAAAAGACTTACCTTTGATCCCCAAGTGCCTGGTTCAAATAGTCTCTACAACCTGTAACAAGATTTCTCCAGTTATCTAGGGTTTTCAGGAAAAATCTCCAAGAACCTGCCTTGGGCTTCAACTAAGGATGAAAAACCTCTACAAAACTCTCCAAAAACCTTTTTAACTGGGCTGCATAAGTAGCTGATTGATCAACTGATCAGTTCTCCATACACTGTATGGGCAAAGAAAGGAGAAAAAAAGTCGAAAGTGAGAACCTGCTCTGATACCAAGTTGAAAATTACACTTGCAGTAATTCAGATAATACAAGAAAAGAAGGAAGAGCGAAAGAGGAAGAAGAGGAAAGATGTTTCAGCAATAGGTTGTGGAAGAAGAAAAGAAGGGAAGAGAGAAAAGAAGAACCCGAACCTCCCTCTCTAGCCCCCTTTCATCACTTTTATTAACTTAATTCTAAACCTAAGTACAATTACTTGGATGCCCTTAATGGGGCGGCCAGCACTAAAGAAATAATTAAAGAAAACAAAAGAAGGCCCATAACTAACAAACATAACTTTTAAACACTACTTAAAAGAAATAAAGAACACTAAGGCCCATTCGGCCCATTCTCATTACAAAAACATATTGCATTCCTGATTCTACGAGCTGTCTTTGTACCACACTCCTTGAGGCAAGCCCAAACAAGTCCATGTTAGGGTTTTAAATTCTTAATTCTCACATGAAAATGATGATTTTATAACTTTAATTGCCTTTTAAGAAGATATTTTATTAAAATGAGTGAATGAACATCATTATCAAATACTGGGTTCTTGGAGCGTGGTTGGGGGTCCAGGGGTGCAGCCCCAAACCCAGCCACAAGGTTTAAAAAAAGCAAAAGGGCGCATGCCTGGTGCGCCTTTTGAAGGGATTGTGCTTAGGACCTAGGCGAGGCGCATACCCTAAAATGCACCTCGCTTGTGTGCCTAGGTGCGCTTTTTAAATCACTGGGACAGGGTTCCTCTTGAGGGAGGGGCAGTTGTTGAGAACCAGTAGAGCCATCAGCCAGCAGGCAATGGATACTTACCAGGCCCATGCTGAGGCGCAGAATGGAAGTAACCCTCAGCTTGCAGCATCCCCAGACCTACGCCCCCATTCACTATGTTTATACCAGAAGGAAACATCAGCTTAAGTAGTTGTGATCTATGTGTGTCAACTGAGTTAATTACATCTGGAAGAGTGGGAAAGATGAATTGTAATGGGGGGATAAATAAGGGAAATGAGGGAAAGCACGGCAGGCAGTTCGACAGTATCCTCTTGTTTTCTTCTTCTTCTTCTCCCTCTTTGTGTAGGAGGTAGAACCCCCTCGAAGAGGTTCCTGTGTTGGGAAGTATCAAGTTATAGATCAGCAAAGGCAAATAGAATGGGCAGCACCTACATATGGAGGATTGAAACTCAATTTTGATGGGGTAGCCTTGGCAACCTAGGGATGCCAGGACTTGAGGGAGTAGTTAGATATGGTAACAACAACATTTTCCCTAGGTATTCAAATCCAAATGGACATGGGAACTCCCTTAAATCGGAACTTCTTGCCTTCATTCAAGGTCTAAAGCTGGTCTCTATGCAAGGATGAATGGATATAACAATAGTAGAGGGAGATTGTCAAAAACTCATATCATAGATGAGAGCTGAGGAGAACATTCCCTGGGTACAGGTTATTGGTGAGGAAGGCATAAACACTGGCAATACCTTGAATAGCTTATGCAACTGCAACTGGGTGCTCAGGACTGCTAATGTACTGGCTGATACCTTAGCAAAAGTAGGGGTTACAAGGGAGAACCTTTTGTGGGAATACCTAAGCTGGGTTTGAATGTGTAAAGCTCTTTTATTTGTTTGATTTTTGCTGGCAAGAGCAACATTGTATCCCTTACTTACCACTAGGGGTGCAACATGGATGGGCTCGGGTTGGACTTTTGTCAAAATTTGAATGGGCCAGGCCTGAAGGTCTTAGCCCAAATCAGTGTAAAATGATAATTCGGGCCAACCCAAGTTGTACCCCTTGTTATCACTAATAATTTTGGGTAGTAGGTATTTATTTTATTTCAATTACTACAATCTGTTTGTTTTTGATAAAAAGAAGAGGATATGACACTGAACAAAGTGGAATAGTAGAACAAGTAACAGACTTATCAAGGGCCTGGACTGAAATAGCGCATTCATCGAGAGAAAAAGACAGTTTGTATTGGAGTGGAAACCCCCAACAGGTAATAAAGTAAAAACTAAACTCCAATGGGAGTTCCCTTGGAAACCCGGGTATGGCTGGAATAGGAGGGGTCATCAGAAACTCAGAGAGGAGGATAGTGGCAATGTTTTCAGGGCCAGTTGGTTTGGGAAACTCTTTGAAGGCTGAAATGTTGGCTCTTTTGCAAGGTCTTGGACTAGCTAAACAGCTTGGTTTTAGAATGATTGAGGTGGAAGGAGACTCACAAGTAATCATTTCATGGGCAAAATCTTAACAGGCATATCTCTTGGACCCTACAGCACACGCTAAGAGAAGTGGAAAATCTAGCAAGAGAATTACAGGTTGAATTCAAATGGATTAAGAGTGCAAATGGGTTAGCTGACTCCTTAGCAAAACAAGGAGTTATGAGGCAACTATTGTTTTGGGCATCCATGTAACTTAGGTTATAAAGGGATTGACCCTACAAACAATCAAGTTGTATTAATCATTCTTACTCTTAATTTAATAAAATAAATTTACTTTTTTTCTGATAAAAAGAGTGGAATGGTAGAACAGGATTCATGTAGTTGACCCCATAAAGTTGGGACAAGGCTTTGTTGAGTTAGGTTGAATGGTAATGTTATTAGATGATGTTAAATAACTATAGTCTGCAGCTTCTACTATGTAAATGGGCACACATTCTTTTTGATATCTTTGAGGATGCCATTAGTATGAAACTTTCCTGTACAATCTGGCATTTGTTATGAAAATGAATTCTTAGTTTCTTACTTGTAACTAACACTTTGTTTTCTCTGGAAAATTCATCCTCTTTTCCATTCTTTGTTAATAACACTTCTAAATTGGAATCTGGGTTTTCAAGTTATAAAGCATGTTTTGTTGTTCCGAGCTGAAAAATGCATTGTGCTGACTAGTTCACTATTATTTCTGGCAAATGAACTGCTGTATTTGAAAAAATTATCTTCTGAGAAATGCAGTCATGATTGTGTCAAATATTATGTTCTCTTTGACCAGTGGTTGAAGCTTGTGTGTGTTTTGGTACATTTCTATTGACATGGTTTAGTGCTTAGCTTTTGTTTATCGCTCTTTTGAAGTTCATGCACGAAGACTTGCTGCCTTGAAGGCCCTTACCTTTGCTCCATCAAGCAACAATGAAATTTTGGCCAAATTGTTTGAAATTGTATTTGGCATTCTTGATAAGGTTAGTCCTTTCTTGCATTTAGTGAATGGAATCTAAGTTTAAGAAATACTATTTCTTTACATAGTTTGACAAATATTGCTACATTTTTGTTTTTATTTTTGTTACTACCTACTGGTTGAAGTGACCTTGCTAAACCAAGACTTGTGCATTTTTTCCCCTCAATTTCAGGTAGCTGATACAAAACAAAAACGTAAGAAAGGCATGTTTGGTGGCAAGGGTGGAGACAAAGAGGTAATCATATTAATAATAGTTATGAACTAAGGCCATTACCAATGTTGATCCTAGCTATCTGGGGTTTTGGGAATAGTTATAAACAAAGTTGAATAAATTTTTCAATTTGGTCAAGCGGGGCTTAACTGTTGTTTCTCTTTTTGCTTCTTTTCTGGTATTGATATAAAAAAGCCCTTATGGATGTCCATTTCTTTTTATTGGCATCACTTGAACTAATTCGGAACAAAAAGGAGAGGGAAAGTAGAAGGAGAAAATAAAATAGAAACTTGTGGTGGAGTGGGGCTTAACCGTTGTTTCTCTTTTTGCTTCTTTTCTGGTACTGATATAAAAAAGCCCTTATAGATGTCCATTGCTTTTTATTGGCATTGCATGAACTAATTTGAAACAAAAAGGAGAGGGAAAGTAGGAGAAAATAAAATAGAAACTTGCAGTAAAGATTCATGTAATGTGCATCAAGGGGCCGCACAGGGGAAATTGCTCTTCTTAGTCAGTTAAGTGAAGAAATAATTGTTCCAATTTACAATGTGTTGAAATCTTAGTTTAGGGTGTTCCTGGCCCAGGGGTATTCTTGTAATGTTTCATGATCGGTTATGCAGTATCTAGTTGGCTGTAGAGAGTTTCTGCTGGAGGTTATTGCTTCCTACAGTTCCTGATTATCTGCTTTGTATGATTGTCCTTTGTTTTTGATCTATTTCTAGTTTCTGTTGCTTATAAAAGAAGTAGAAGTCTCAACACTCAAAAATAGGGATGCTGCAAACTGTTAACCTAGACGGTCGAAACAATAAAAGAGCACAAGAAGAATAAAGGGTGTCAGAAGAGTAATCAGCTCCCACCTGAAAGTCTCCTTTATATTATAAAATATGTACAATTACAAGTATGCCCTCACAGGTCTGTAGGAAAAGAAATAAAGAATAAAAGGATATTGTACAACAGGAACTACAGTGATATAGTAATATATTACATTAAGCCTTAAAATCTCCACACAAACATCTCTACAGTTCCCCTCAGGTTGGGTGTAGATATTAATCATACCCAACCTAACTTGTGTAAATCAGTCTCTACCTTATTTTTTGCAACATGTTTAATGAAAATATCAGCTAGCTGCATGCCGATGCCAGAAGCAATGTTAGGTGAACAAACTTCATCAGAGGCCACCTTTTCTCTAATAAAATGCTGTTCAACTCTTATATGCTTTGTCTTGTCATGTTGAATTGGATTAGGTGCTATGTTAATTACAACCTGATTATCACAGTACAACCTCTATGGCTGTTCCAAATCAATCCTAAGCTCATCAAGTAGATATCTAATTCATAGCATCTCTGATACACCATGTGCAATGTCTTTATACTTAGCCTCAACACTAGAATAAGCAATAGATTGTTTCTTATTCTTCCAGTAAACAAGGTTTCCACTAACAAGAGTACAGAGCTTGATGCAAACCTCCGTTTAGTAATGAACTTGCTCAGTTTGTATTGGTGTTTGCTTCCACCTTCATGTGTTGGCATGGTGTACTAGCTAACAACATTAGTTACATATGAAATATCTAGCCTGGTCATGCATAAATACAACTTACCAACTAGTCTCTGATATCCTATAACATCGTAAAGTGCTTCTCCATTCATAGCACAGATCTTGTGATTTTGATCAACAGGAGTCTTTGTTGGGTTAATTCTTAACTTCGCTGTCTTCGTTGGAACACAAAAATCCCATGTTTTGACCTCGCAACCTTAAAACCTAGGAATTAACACAAGTCTACTCGTTTGTTTATATCAAATTTATGATGCAAGAACTGCTTGAATTGATTTATCTCATCAGAATTTTTACCGTTAACAACAATATCATCAACATGGACAGTAAGAGAAATTGACAATACCTCTCCCCTTAATAATTAAGGTATAACCTAAGATTGAGAATTGCCAAACCTTTGTAATGCATTTTTGAACCTGTGAAACCAAGAAATAGGAGATTATTTAAACCCATGTAAATACTTCTTCAATTGGCATACATTCCCTTCACTTTTACTATAACAAAAAGCTTGGTGGGAGAGTCTGTTGAGAAAAGCATTCTTTGCATCTAATTGGAATAAAGGCCAGGATTAGGAAGTTGCAAGACATAAAAGCATTAGAATTCATCTTTGCAATAGGGGCAAATGTCTCCAATAATCCACTCCATATGTTTGTTTATATACCTTGGCAACAAGCCTAGCCTTGCATTTCTCTAAGTGCCATCTGCCTTATGCTTAACTATAAATACTTGTTTACATCCCACGAGCTCCTTCCCTGCTGGTAAATCAACTATGTCCCAAGTTTGATTCTTAAGTAAAGCACCAATATTAGCTTACATAGCATTCTTCTATTCAGGTCTGGAGGGAGCTTCAATGACGTTCCTAGGAATAGGCAAAGAAGAGATAGAAGCAAGAAAATCCCTATATGATGGAGATAAAGTGATAAGGCAAGTACTAGGAAATACAATGGGCTGTACAAAAATGGTGTTTTTCCTTATAAAGCGTAATAGGAAAATTAGTGCCATTAACCATGGGAGGCAAAGAGGGAAGAGTCTAGGATCTTAGAGTCAATTGAGACCTGCAATTCTGAATTTTATTTTTTTTTGTTTTTCTTTTCCTCAATGCTAAAGTTAATGGCTTTTTTGACCTCTTAAACTTAGTATGGATTTTTAAAATAATTTGATTTTTTAAGATGATTAAAGCTATTCTTACTTTCTTAGTGACACCAACAAACTAGAAAAAAGTCAAAAAACTCAAATCAACTAAAGCACCCAAAAATTATTAAATTGCCTTTGGTGCAACAGTTCGGATAAACTTTATTCCTTCTTTCATGGTTTCTTTTTCTCTCTCCATGTTTGCATCATTACCTCTAATAAGAGTTAAAATGCTGGTATTGGTGGAAACATCAGTCATCCAAATATGGGAAATGTCTTGGAAATGTTGTATGGAAATATTGCAAATATCAGACATGAAACATTGTGAAATATGCTAAAATATGGAATGATATTTTATGAAATGATAAAAGAAACATAGGTATTAGGTGCATCCTTTTAAATTATTATTTTGTTCCAAATCATCAAATAAAGCTAAGAATTACATGTAAACTACCAAAAAGAAAAAAGAAAAAGAAAACTCGTTCTATCATGTAGTTTACAGGACAACTTCACAACATATTATCATTATCATAGTTATGCTGTCAATTAGCAGACCTCATGTAGGTGGGATAAGGCATGGAGGATGTTGACAATAGTTATGCTGTCAATTATGCAGTTAAACTATAATTTTTCAAGCTCTGATTTAACAGAATCAGAATTATGATTGGTTTATGTGTTTGTACAGTCTATTATTCGAAGTAATTTGCAATATGCTGCCCTTAGTGCTTTGAGGAGACTTCCTTTAGATCCAGGAAACCCTGCATTTCTCCACCGTGCGGTTCAGGGGTAAATTGTTCTATCTGTCTCTCTATATCTTTTTTAATGAAAGTATCTTTCTACAGTTTCATACTTGATTACATATTAAATTGAGTACTTATATTGCTGTTTTTTTTTGGTTTGTGTAAATGTAGCAATCTTAAGAACTATGTGATATAGTGTGGAATTTATACAACTCTGTCTTCCTACATCTTTATTACAATTTACAATATCTTAAAGAGAGAGGATCTAACCATATCGACCCTTTCCATGGGAAAATGAGTTGACAACTATTCAATAGCGTCATGCAATGTCTTAAGACTAGGACAAGACTAGATGGTCAAACTGGTCAACCCGGGAATTGGAGGGCATTTCAGTTTTTAAGAACCCCGGTTTTTATTTTTTTGAAAAACTGGTAGAACCGGTCAAAACCAGGTAAAATTGTTGAAAGCTGGACGGGTTTAAACGACCCAACTGATTTCATGACCTGCCTGAGTCACTAAATGGTTGCAAATTTTAAAATGTTATTAGAGGGATTCGAACTTGGGTTCTTGTAATTAAATTAATTAGCCTTCAACCATCAACCCATCTTTGGAAATGCTTGCCCTTTGCAATCTGTTGGGCAGTATGGAAGGAGCAAAACTGTACAGTTTTTGAATTCAAATCTGATTCAAGTAGAAACTGTCATTAGTAAGGTGGAATGGACCTTGAAGAGATGGGATTGTATTTCGAGGCTTTTGAGGGAACTCCAACCGATTATTCCACTGACAATTGGATCTCTATTATTTTTTGATTTCTTGTATAGTGAGCTGAATGTAAATGCTTCTGTGCTAGGCACTCTTTTGAATATGTTGAGGGTCCTTGCCCTTGTATGGTTATTTTAATACAATTATCTTTACCACTTATCAAAAAAAAAATTTTTGTTGATTAAAAAGTGTAAAATACAAGAACCATAACTTTGTCCCTATCTATATACTAATGTCAAATCTAACCCTAAATGGCTAACCATTAGTTAGAGAGTGAGAATTTTTTAGAAGCAAAAAAGAATTGAAGAAAACTGGGCCAATGCAGTGGGGTTGAGTTAGTGTAGGCTACATTGATTTCGTTTAGGGTTGACCTCAACCCGAACTAACCCAGCTTGACTAGACGTATGGA